CACTACCGGTATTTAAAATCAGTACAGTTACTGATGGATTAGAAAGAGGATGTGAGTGTGGTTCTTCATGTGGTACGTCTTCATCAGCAGCAGCTATGTATGTTCCAGCTCTCTGGCTTGCAAGCACAAAAAAGTAGCGCTTATTAAGTCTTTGTATTCAACATTTATCGAGTATGCTTCCTCAATATGTTTGTATTCTGGCTTTTGTAAATACAATACATGAAACTGAGAGGGATCTGTAAGAAGTAGGAGCTACAGATTTGTTTTGTTTCATCTAATATGCATGCTGTGGTTGAAACTGTAAACTGCATTAATGTATCATGCACAAGAAGGACCACTTATAATGGTGCACACTACTCTACTGTCTTGAAAAATAATGTATGTATGTTAATGTATGTTAACTGTATGTTAAAGCTGGTACCCATAATCTCACAGTGACCACTTTCAGTGCATCTTTTCTACTTCTGGTTTCAGATTTGCTGCCAAAAGGCATTACATGATTTGCGAGGAAAAAACCCCATAGAAGGCTGCTGGGCAAGTGTCAAAATATGGTTTGAATTCATATGCACTGGGTTTTGTGTTGACACAATATACAAAACAAAGACCACAAATCTAAATGCATTCCACAACACTAAACATACAGAATCATGTTTTTCCCAAATTAGGTTACGCTGATCGACACAGAAATGTTGAAAGTTATTCTTTGGTTTTCTCTTCTTCCACTTAGAAAAAAAAATTCAGATCCATAAAAATGATCGTTTTCTTTCAGAATGGCTGAAACCTGCTGGCAGTCGACAGATTGATGTAAAGTGCGCTAGACATTATGCTGGTGGTGTGGCTGAGAATTGGACAGCACCACTCCAGACACCATGAATTGTGGCTTCTTTCCTGACATACCTGTGGCCAGAACTTCCAAACCTTTCCACAGACACACACAAAAGCTAATCTCCTAAGATCAGCACCAGCTTTCTCCAGTGTACAGCCATTTTTTTCTCTTCTTTTCCCCCTAGTCCTACGGTAATTCCAGGATGTGGGATGTGCATAGTTCAGACGAAGTGCGGTTACGCTATCCGCAATCAGTGAGCACTGCAAGATTAGCAACCGGCAAAACTCATTTTTGACAACAAAGATTTAGCAGGATATTTGGACCAAAGTTTTGAAAAACGTTTTCAGCGAATGACTGGTCAGTGATCTTATAACCACATGCTCACATTCTTATTTATGTCATTCTTGTTAGGATACTGCTGTTAGTAGTGACAGGAAAAATTCAACTGAGAACGGGCTGGAGAAATTGATTTTTCATCCTCATAGTTCTATGCTTTTGTCAATTTGGCTCTGTCAGTGTTGCATTTGAATTTGTCACGGGCAACAATGAGAAATAAAGCTAAGTTAATGTGACTGTCACGTCACTGTAACCGTATCTATGCAGAACTGTATGCCCAAGTATTCAGGCCCTGTAAGTATCAAGGTTTGGTTTAACAGTGCAGTTTAACTTTTCAGAATGGAAAGATTGACAAAACAAAATATAAGACATTTGTATAAAGTTTTTTTTGCGGTGTTACCTGAAGGCAATCTTGAACGCAGCTGCACAATGCTTCAAGCAGAAGTTGCCCTCCTCACCTATTAAAACCAGCTGACTGCACATATGTTGAGTGGAACCGAGAGACAACCTGCACTGGAATAATTTAGGATTGAAAATAATATTATCTTAGACACTGGGCTGACCGATGAATATGAGACACAAGTTTCCATTGAGGATTGGAGAAGTTGAAATAAGTTGTACTTCTGGGTTTTTGTTCCATTTTTTCATGTCTTCCTGAGACAAATGGAGCTGAAGCATCTCTACTTTGTGTGATAAATAGAGTTCAAGTGTGTATCCCAGTGGTACTGTGATTGATAGCGTGTCATTCTAAAGACCATCAAAGACACATTCTGATTAGCACTTAATCTCACTCCCATTCATTGCGGCTTCAGTAGACTGAGTGTTGTTTGGCTTAGCCAGCGTACCTCTCGGAAGACTTTCTCTCAGCACTTAAACAAACTGAAAAAAGATGAGTCTGGAACAACTACTGACATCCATTGACAATTTTTCACCTGATTATAAAATGATGCTTGCGCAGGACCCTTGAGTGTTCGCTTTAGTCTGGGTAAATCTAGTCAGAGAAACCTAATACTTCGATCCATGGCCAGTAAAGCAGGCATGCCTCGCTCTGCCTCTCAGGCTTCATCCAGCTTGCTGCACGGTTTTATTGGGCGTTGTGGTAAGTCGCTCAGTTCAAGCACCACTGTTGCCCAATTTGTGCTGGCGATTTTTAGAATTTGGCTGAAAGTATCTCATGTTTGGATTTGCCCAAAGACATTTTCCTGCATACGGAATGATAAAGAGTTTACATTGAAAGTCTCTTATTGTGGAATGGACTATCTTTTACTGGCTCCTTTGTCTTCCTCAGGCAAATCAGGCCATGGCCAGAGCCACAGTGGTTTAGAGAGCTTTCATCAGCTGTCTCAGTACAATCATCATGGCCAGCTCTGACCAGAATTATAGCATTATTCACATACATAACCAATCATCATTTGCATGTGGAGAGGGGAACTAGAGTTTGCATGGATGACAAATAGTTGAGCTGAGCAGATTTATTCTGAGTTAAAGATTATATTACTGCAGAATCTAGTACGGTTTAGTTCTAATACTTGTGTTGTATTCTACTGGTCAGCCCTCGTACAGCAAAAAATTACTTCAGGTTCTCCCTGGCCTTTCTATCATCCATCCATCCATCCATCCATCCATCCATCCATCCATTATCTTTACCCACTTCTTCCTTTTTGGGTCACGGGGGTCATTGGTGCCCATGTCCAGCAATCACTGTGCGAGAGCTGGGGTACACCCTGGACAGGTCTCCAGTCCATCACAGGGCCACATAGAGACAAACAAGACAAACAACCATTCACTCTCTCACTATCCCCTAGGGACAATTTAGATGAATGCATGTTTTTGGTCTGTGGGAGGAAACAGAAGTACCTGGGGAAAACCCACGCATGCACGGAGAGAACATGCAAACTCCACTCAGAATGGTCCCTGACAGGGATTTGAACCGGCAACCTTCTCACTGAGAGGCAACAGCTCTACCAACTGCACCACCATGCCACCCCTAGCTCACTGCTAACAAAATCATGCTGCTAACTGGACCATGTTTCTAAGATAACTTCACTGTCATCAGAACCACTCTGCTGGTATGACATGCTGCTGTAGATTTAGTTCTTTTTCACTTTTTGTGCCTTGTTTCTGTATTTTTGTTGCGTGCTTTGAATAAATCCCAGTTTTTGTTAGTTTTGGGGTCGGCTCCGAGCTCGACTCTGCTCGCAATAAGCGTGTAAATTATAACCGAACCTAGGAGAATCGTGCTGCTGTTGTGCGCTGTATTATTTTGCACTGTTAGTGACTAGCGTATATCGTAGATCTTTTAACGTATCGTTGAGCGTTTGTTTAGCATATATCTTAGTTTATAGCTTAGATCCGTATTTACTGTTTATTTTTATACTTTATATTTTTGCTATTGTTGGATGTAACTGGGAGCCTGTGAACACAATTTCGTTCCACCTCATGTACCACATGTGATGTGAATGACAATAAAGGACCTTGAATCCTTGAATGTCAGGGTCAACAAGAAAATACACTGATCTCCTTTATAAATATAAACTATTCTAAAGCCATGTACACTTTCATCATTCATCCACAAACGTCTGACAATTTTATCACAAAAAAATATTTATTTATGAATGAATTAGTTTGTTTCAATTACATTAATTTATAACAGTTGCCTAACAATATAAAACAAACAATCAGAAAAAGGAGTGGTGTTTACGCTCATTCAGTGTCCAATTCAAAAATCACACATGTAGGCTTTTCAACGTAAAACTAAGTTTAAGTTTTTGGTGTATCCATGTGTACTTGAAAAATAGAGATATTGGTAAAACCATTATGTCTTATCTTACTACATGCATGCCTATATTTGTCTGTATGCTGATAAAAACAATAATAATTACACTGTTTTAATCTGTTTTCCCATATCTATCAATTTTATCCTTATTTTGTTGCAATAAAGCTTTGATTGTGTGTTGAAAAAGTTCATGAAGAATATGGTGAACAATGTTCAAAAGAGTCATAATTGTTTTTGGAAAACCTCTGATCATATCCAGAATGTTCTTCCTCTGTGTTTTAATGCACTTTTAATTTTAATGTTATTACCACCTAGTGGCAGAACACTGGTGTTTCAGCTTTTTTACCTGGAATTCCTGCTTCTTGTCTGTATGCAGGTTTTCTTTTTAAAAAATTGGATGAAATATTTATTTTAAAATATTAGTAGTAGTATAGTTGAGGTTTGAGTTCTGTATCTCCATCTCTCCTCTTTAACAACTTTTATAAATTTTACTATACAGTCAATCATAGTCAGTGCATCTTTAGCATAACAGAGCTCTAGGAATCGACTGTCTTTACCCACTTGTTCTTGTTTTGGGTCACATTGATTTGGTGTATTTTCCCAGCAGTCATTGGTTGAAAGTAAGGGGTAGCCCACTGATCGTCTGTCCATCACAGGGCCACACAGAGACAAACAAGCCAGACAACCATTCACACTTTTATTCACATAGTGATGATGTAGACAACTATTTAACCCATAATGCACTTTTTTTTTAAATTTGAACCAGGAGAAAATCCAAAGATGCACTGGGAGAACAAGAAAGCTCCATGCAAAAAGGCTCCTGCCCGAAAGCAAACCTGTTATTTTCTTACTGCAAGGCAACGATGCTGACCAACCAAAGAGTGCAGGACTGAACTCACGTTTAAACACTGCTGCATCCATGTTTTACTACTATTTTATTCTTTCAACAAAAGCTTAACAATCTTGCAGAAAGATGATGTCACCATCAACCATTTTTACTCTGTGTAACGTTTATTTCGTCTTAGACCTAATTCACCTTTTGTGCGTTTGTCTTGCAGCAAGCTATGGAGCGTACCCTGTCTGTAAAGGTTGCTCAGTGTGCTCCAGGGATAACGGTTGTGTAAACTGCCAACCCAAGCTCTTCCTATTTCTGCGGCGGGAAAGGATGAGGCAGTACGGAGAATGTCTTCACGACTGTCCAGCTGGATACTACGGCATGCGCAGCCCAGAAATCAACATGTGCTCCAGTAAGATCGTACTCTTGTAAACTCACCCATCCTTGTTCATAGTCCACATATTTTCCCCCTCTCACATTCTACCCCAACATTTCAGCCACACATACACACAGCTTCAGCTTCCCATTTTCCCACAGCACATGATTTATTATCTGTTATCCATCGCAGACACACATACCTCACAATTTAAATGGCTCATCTGTTCGCACAGGTTAATGTTCGCTGCAAAGTGTTGTCTTTGCAGCATCTCCCGTGGGTGTTCACATTGATCTACAGCTTAGGCAAATCTGCTGTTTCTAATTTCTTCCTAAAATTGTTTTTCCACCTGCATTACAAAACATCCTATGGTCATGAGTATGTCTAAAGGCATGAAATTCAAATGCAAGAGGAAGCAGTCAATCATTTGACATTGTGGGAGTTGAAGTATTTGCCATGAACTATAGGAGTCAAGTCTGATGTTACCAGAATATCTCGTGAACCACTTCACTTTAATAAAACATTTAGAAAGTTATTGGATATTCAACTATCTCCAATTAACTTTGGGAGTCAATCCAGTTCAAGATGTCTACCACAGCTAGTCAAGCGTAGCCAACACAGAAATGGTTATAACAGTCAATTTTACAGACATTGAGCTAAAATCTTTTAAGCTAGTAGCTGAGAGTTTTCTCTAACACATACTTTGTGAATTAACCAAAACGGCTCTAACTTAGTAGTTTCTCAACGTTAGATGATTCTAGTTTAAACATCTGACATTAAAAGCGTGGACATGTGCAGACCTTCAAGGCATCCCAGGCTTTTAAATTATTGGTTCAAAGATTAAAACATTAAACAGAACTTGATAATGATCACTGCTTTTATAAATTAGACACATTTTTTAAAATGTAGGTTTTAACCTTCGTTTTTTAGCTTCCAACTTAAAAAAGACCAACGTTTGCTTGTTGTCATTTTTTTGTCGTCTTTTGCGTTTTTGTTGTTTATGAGTTTCGTTGCGCCACCAGTTCAGTTCCCCAGAATTTCCCTCAGTTAGTTTATACTCCCCCATCCAGCCACGCCCACTTTCACCTGTTCCTTATTATTATCAAGCCACCTGTCTCCAGAGTCCTCATCAGTCCCAGTCCATTTTGTCTCTTGGTCTTCACCTCACCTGCAGTCTGCCACTGTGCCCCTTTTATTGTTTCTTGGATAAATCTTTATGGGTTTTTTCACTCAAGCTCCTCTTGTTTGTCTAAATTCCAGCATCTGACTTCTTTTAACTGTGATGGTTGTAAAAATAATAATAACAACAACAATAATAATATCCATCCATCCATTTTCTTCCGCTTATCCGGGGTCGGGTCGCGGGGGTACCATCCTAAGTGGGGAGGCCCAGACTTCCCTCTCCCCAGCCACTTGGTCTAGCTCCTCCAGGAGAATCCCAAGGCGTTCCCAGGTCAGCTGAGAAACATAGTCCCTCCAGCGTGCCCTGGGTCTTCCTCTGGGTCTCCTCCCTGTGGGACGTGTCTGGAACACCTCCCCAGGGAGGCATCCAGGAGGCATCCTAACCAGATGCCTGAGCCACCTCAACTGGCTCCTCTCGACGTGGAGAAGCAATGAGTCCCTCCCGGATGATCGAGCTTCTCACCCTATCTCTAAGGGAGAACCCAGCCACCCTGTGGAGAAAACCCATTTCGGCCACCTGTGTCCTTGATCTTGCTCTTTCAGTCACAACCCAAAGCTCATGACCATAGATGAGGGTGGGAACGCAGATCACCGGGTGAATTGAGAGCTTCACCTTTTGACTCAGCTCTCTCTTCACCACAACAGACCGGTACAGCGCCCGCTTCACTGCAGATGCAGCACCTATCCGTCTACCAATTTTTCGCTTCATTAATTCCTCATTCGGGATCAAGACCCCGACTGATAATAATAATGATAATAATAAATAATAATAATAATAAATTCTTCTCAACACTTTTAATTAAAAAATAATAGTCAAATCATATTAATGGATCTTTCTCCTCGTCCTTGTGTAGCGCCCTGATCTCATAACCTTGTGCTGACATTAACTGCGCTCTGAAAGATGGCGAAAACCTTTACACAGAGCCTGAGGTGTTGGCTGAGCGTTTCATACGAAAACAGAGAGAAACTTGACGCTTTTGACTTTTCTGAGCCAAACTCCTGACCGACGCTCTAAAATGAATCCCAGTGGAGAATGTCTGAACCTTAAGGAGGAATTATTTGAACATGGAGCGGCTGCAGAGCGCAGCACTCTGCTCATCCAGTCACACTCAAATACATTATGACTATGATGAGCAAGTAAAACAAATGTAATAGAGTATCTTTAGCATTAACCACATCATGTTGCAATATTTGATGCAGTATGGGCAGAATGTTTAGAAGGTCACTGAAACTTCAGTGTGGTATTCTTAAATCATTTGAGTCTTATTTTTTCAGACAAATACAAAATAAATTATTCTCAGTGTCTTCTCACTTTTCATTAAACATACAATAAACCTAGAACTTCCATAAACACGCTCAGAAGAAGTGTGGAGAGTTAACTATCTGGTTATGTCACCTTTTTCATTCCTTACAGTTTTCAGATCAGTCTGGAACGTATAGTGTTTTGTTTCTACTAGAGGGAATTGTCTACTGGGCCAAGTACAACATCTTTATTTAAAGTTCTCCCTCAAATATAGGCCTCCTTTGTCAATCACTGCAAAATAAGTTTCTGCAAAGTTCCAAACATTTTGCATTAGTCTTTCTTCATTTATACATGGTAAGCCCTTTTGTTTTGACACTTATGCACAGCACGCACCATTAGACATCTGATTTTTAGAAACTGAAGCCAGCCTGAAGTTTGTCTCGTCTTTGTCACAAAGAAGTCCACTAGAAGCTGCAACATGGACTCTCCAGACCCTTCACAAACTTATAAAACATCATATACTCATTAAAGGGATGGTCCAATCCACTTAGAAGTGATGCTCTGTCTAATAGGTATCAACACTTGGCTTTTTATCAACCATGGCATCAGACAGAGCGCTGAGTTTAGAGAGATAAGTTAAAGTTGGTTAATAGTCAGCCAAACAATGGCTTGTTTTTTTAACCCTTTTCCAGACTTATCAAAGAAGTGTTTCTCAAATCAACATGCCTCTGTGAAAATATGCTACGTTTCACAGAATGTGGTGAAAGAATCACCGCAGTCATCACAGGGAACTGCACCAAAACATTCACAAACTCTACGCATGCTAATTAGTAAAAGTTATTTATCCAAGGAAACCAGCAGAATGGGTCAGATCTTCACTTGTCTTGACTTTGATTTATAAAGAATTATAAAAAGTCATCACTAAGAGTTATAGAGGCTCAACAGAGATGGGATTTTTCATTATTCACTTCTTGTTTTCACAGAATGTACACATTCATGGATTAATAACAGTCACAAGTCACTTCCTTCAATTACTTTGTTACAAAATGTATTCATTTTAATTGGTCAAAATCGGTTACTGTTTTTCTTTTACATTTTAATACTTTTGTTGGATGTAACGGGGACCCTGTGTACACAATTTCGTTCCACCACATGTACCACATGTTGTGCACATGACAAATAAAGAAACTTTGACTTTGATTACAAACTTTTGAAGTCTCGTCACAATAAAACCAAAGTCTCTAAGTCTCTGAAGGCATGTTATTCTGTTTCATCAACTAAGATAATTGGAAGATAAAGACGTCTTGTTCTTTGCTAATACAAATGATGAAGATTTATTTTCTTACTTTAAATTTGCGATCCTAACCACTGTATCTTTCTCTTGGTTGAATTGTGAATTTAAAAGGATCTGATAAGTGGCAGGTTAATCTGCAGCCCTCAATATACTCAGTGCTGTAAGATCAACATGTTGTAGTGTCACATAGGATCAGATTTCAGAGTAAAACCCACTTTGATGGGATTGCTGCCTCGGTCACTGCTCTCTAATCCAGTTCTCTGTTCGCCTCTCACTCTCAGCTGTGCTCCATGTGTAATTTTCCCCAAACACTTCATGTCTGCTCTCCATAAACTGACGTGTCTTTGGTTTAGAAGTTGACATTTTTGAGCTAGAACAGACATCTTGTACTCAAGGACCCAAATAAGCGCTGAACAAATGACGGTGAGGATGTCTGCGCTGCGGCAGAGAGAGCTGTCGGGTGCTTTTGGTTTCCACAGGGCCCTGGAGTTTGGTGTTACGGCTCTGTTGTCATGAGCTCTTTAAACACCACCTCTCTGAAATCACTTAAGGAGCAGCTGCGTATTATTAGACCAGACTTTGTCTATGTGATCTTATCTTATTCAAGAATTTGTTTATTTTATTTTATTTTTTTGTGTGGACTGCCCGGATATAGAAACTTTTACATTCAGTCACTGGCTGCCTGAAACTTGAGTGAGAAGCTCCTTTTTGTCTTACTTGTTAGAGCCAACTCACAAACGTAGAATTAGAAATGATCTACTGTGACTGCTGGCAATATTCTGAAAGAATCAAAATGTCCCGTCAGAGCTTACAAATGTTTCTCAACACATCTTGGAGCTCTATTGAATAAAATCAAAGGCAACCTGTTTGTCTCTGAAATCTAAATGCATTTAAACTAATGTGCTAAAATGTGCTTTGCATTTCAAAGATTTAAACAAAGCTCTAAAGTGTGCTTAGATTATGTTATGTGGATGATTATTAACTATTACAACCCAAGTCACAACAGAAGTCGTCTCAGGGCACTGAACAGAAACATCCATATATAAAAATAATAATTTAACATTATTTATCTGAGGAGCAGGCTGCTTTGAATTTAACTCCATCACAGAACTCTTGTCTTGAACAAGCATGAAGGAGACAGTGGAAAGGAAAAACTCCCTCATGAGGAAGAAACCTTTAGCAGAACCAGCTCAGGACAAGCGGCCATCTGCTTCAACTGGCTGGTTTGAGAGGAACAGATACACAATGGCAGAGCAAGAATCACATGTTAAGATATAAATAGTATCAAATGAAAACTAATCAATTTTAGAAAATTAT